TCCGTCATCAGCTGCTCATTCTCTTGATTGACGGCCAGCACTTTGCAGATCCTGTTGGCCGCCGTCTCCGCCTACGACACCAGACGCCATCGTCATCATCACCATGTTTTTGTTTTTTTTTAAATACCCCAAAAAGGTTCAATCCTTGAAATTCCCAACAGAGGAGCCAAACAGTGCAGCAAAAGTAGAAGAAAAGCCCGTGGATGATGTCATTCCATTGGCCGCGTCATTAGGTACACTCAAGCAAGCCAATGAGAGCCACGACAAGAGCTGCATAGAAATATGACAATTTCTGTTCGATTGATTGGAGCCAAAATGAAAGCCACATGCGTCACTATAAGGCAGCAGAAGCCTTGTTGCTAGGGTGATAAATAAAATTGGGAAGAAAATATCATTGAAAGAACCATATTTTAATAATCAATTCAATTTCCCAAGTTCTATTCTTGAATTTTTTTTTTTAATACAAGGACAAAAATATAAAAATAAACACAGAATGTACAGTTGATTAAAATGTGTATTAGTTTTCCCCCCAACACTGCACTTGCTGTTTCTTTTTTTTTCTTTTTCTTTTTTTTAGCAACACGAGTAAGTGTAAAAATAACCTCAGTATAATTCACGGGCATGGCTGGTTCAAGTGTGCCTGATTTTATGAATCTACGTATGCACACAGCACAAATTTGAACAATGGCTACACCGCCTGTATGTTCATCTGCCACCTTGAACATGTCCTCTGCATCATAGTGGGAGTGGAGCGGTCGCCACGACGATGAGGCGTCACGAAGGAGACCGTAAAAAAAAAAAAACAAAGATGCTCGAGCGGAGCTCAAGTCAAAGCGACATGCAGTGGAACGTACTGTTCTGTATTTATCAATATTTACACTCCGGTCTCATTTAGACAGGCACCATGACTCCTTAGAAGGAAAAGCGCCCTTGTTTAGAAAATACCCTGGTAGCTGCTAATGTCTGCTATGCGCCACATTTGAGGAGCACTGCAAAACAGTGATGGCTTGAGATACAAGTTTAATTAATTCGGTGACCAGCGTCATTTGTAATGTGTTATTGAATAAAGAAACAGGGCTTTCTAATGGTAATGAATAAAACAGGATGTAATTAAATAGAATGCAAATAATTAAACAGTTTGAGCATCGTGATTTAATGCTTCAATACAATTCATTGGGCTACTCCTTCAGGCGAGCCTGCCTTGGCCACCAGGAGGTAGTATAAAATAGTCATGCTGACGTCAACAAGGAAGAATAGCTTCACAACTATAGCATGACTCAGTAAACTGAGGTAATATTAGTTGTTTCTTTTTTTTTCTTTTTCTTTTTAAATCCAAGGTTCACTTTGAGTGCTTTACTGTGACTATGTGGACGATTGCATAGCTTAGTCCAGGGCCTGCATTTTCTGTCCACAGTTTTATCCAATGAGATTATCCCAAAATCTGGAGTTAGTTTTGATTTCTCACCGTTTTAAATGAAACGCGGCGATGGCCGCGTAACTTTATCGAAGGCGATTTTGCAGTGTTTGGAGTGTTTCAGCTGCTCACCTTCTGCTTGCCCGAGAAGGCGTGGTAGTAACACGACACGTAAGTCATGACGGCCTTCTCGTCTGGCCTCAAGGTGCTAATGATATCTGCCGCAGGAACAGGAACAGGAGGAGGAGGAGGCCGCAGGAACAGAGGAGCAGCAGGAGAAAGCACAGACAGGAGAGGAGAGTAAGAGTAAAAGTGTGCAGAGACAAAAAGGGGCCAGCGGGGGGCGTAATCTCAAGGGTCTCCAGTTTGCCTGCTGTTTTGTCTTCAGCAGAAGCTCGGTACCATTGATTCAAACCTCTAACACTGTTACTTTGGCTTCAATTTGAGTGCCAGTGGATAAATTAATTAATTTGGAGCTGGTTAAGTGCTTGCCTCATATGAACTGCCAAAGACTAAGACTTCCCCAACCAAGGAAGTCAAATCTCTCTGGACGCTTCATTCCATTTTGAAAATTCTTGCTGCGCTGTACTCAGGTTGAAGAGACCTTTTGCACTGTGACATATTTTCATTTTGGGAAAATTCTGTCAAGTTGCTAGTGGGGGGGGCGGGCAAGGCAGACCAGAGCTTCAGAGAAAAATCCCATGAATCCGTCATGCATTTTGAAAACATGCAGAGTGAGTGTGACCCCTGCAGGGAAGCTTGTGCACTGCAGAGAGAAAGTGTTAGGATAACACCTGAGGGGTAAAAAAAGACAAGGTGAGGATGAGTGGGTGTGGAGGAGGAGGCAGAGGAGGAGGAGGAGTAGGAGGAGGAAGGAGACGCTGCATCCACGGGTACCTTCTGGGCGCCCGAGAAGGCGTGGTAGAAGCTAGACACGTAGGTCATGATGGCCTTCTCGTCCGGACGGGCAGTGCCCACAATGTCTGCGGGGAGGTGGAAAAGGGGGAGAAGAAGGGGTTGGGGGGGATAGAGAGAAGGTGTGGTGGAGGAGGGGACTCGTCATTGAGGAGGTTGAGCTCAGCATCATCGCCACACATCAACAAGTCCAGATGTGCTTGGAAGGGAGGATTTGATTTGTTAAATAGTCACCAAAAAAAAAAAACAGCACGCTCAGAAACTGTATATAGAAAACACTTTTATGCTTTTCCCCCCAATTTAAAACAGCTCCCACATGTCCAAATCGTGAAAATACAATTTTTACACCCGCTTTTTTATGCCTCATTAAAATTTGCTTTTTTTTTCTTCTAAAGGCAGTCGTGTGTCATGTTCAAATACAGCAAATTTAAATGTAACGAAACTAATCAATTTAGAACATAACATAGTAAAATGCTGCAATTTTGACAATACAAAATATATATATATATTTATATAACTATATCAATGAAGCTGTGTGACAAGAATACAAATTTATAATTACATTTTGATCGAAACAAAAATGCATAAAATAATTGTCAATCAGTTAACGTGCTGCTTATCAGAAAGTAAACTGTGCACGTTGGAGCTTCACTGAGCTTTTGGCTTTGACGTTGAAAATGTGCGACCCTTAGCCCACCCTAGCTGGCAAATCATTGGAAGGAGAAATTCGGTGTGGGAGTGGGATTATGTAAATTAGACCAAATGCGACATTACAATCTAACACTTTTTTTCAGCTAGGGAGCTAAAGAGGGATTTACGTGATTTCCAGTGAGGACGTCAGTTTGAAGCGACTTGTAACGCTAAGCTCTAATCTGTTCATGTATGGTTAATTGAATAAATTTTTTTTCACCTTCGGCGTCCAACATCTTGGGAATATCCAGGTACTTCTCGGCCACGTCAAAGGCTGTGTTCAGGTTGGTCATAGGGTCGTCCTGACGACAGAAAAAGATAAAGTTTGAAGCATGCAATTTCGGCCCGCCCTCCCCCAAACGTCTACGGGAAACTACAGCCCCGCCTGTCTTTCTTGAACCAGGAAATACCGTATTTTCACGACCATAAGGTGCACTTAAAAGTCTTTAATTTTCTCCTCAAATTGGCCTTGGCGGAGGTCCGTGCTCCGCCAAGTGACATTGCGGTGGTGTCGCGCGTCAGGCTCACCTTGCGTAGTTTCCCGTAGTCGATGAGCTCTGGACGGTGTCGATGAATGAGCGCACAGAAGCCCAAACCATCTTTCCAGCTGAAAACCAACAAGAGAAAAGGAGACATCATGTTACAACAAATGTCCGAAATCAAAAATGTTCGCCCAATATGAAGAAGACAACGTTTGACAGAATACAATGAAACCATCATTGAGCCTACTGACCGCTTTGGATCAGCAAGCTGTGGTTCAAACATAAAAAGAAGAAAAAAAAAAGAAGCTAGTGTTTTGTTCGTCTGCCTCACATCTCATGTGTCACAGAGACCACATCAAAGGGTCTGGCTCCCCCCCATGTCGGACCCCTCACGCTGATATGATTTCACCCCCACCTTTCTTCTTCTCCTCTTTCATCCACAGGTATCAATGATTCAAGAGTCCGGCAAAACAAGCACACAGTACAGTACTGTACTCTATCTCCTTTTTTACATTTTAGAGCCTCCTTCCAGGTCGACAGCGTTATCGCAACACTGCTTATCTCTTTGCGTCATGTGATATTCATCTCATCCCCGGGTTAGTTACAGTTCAATTTCTCATCAAATCCAGCCAAAAAGCACGCTTTGTAAAAACTTGAACCGCACAGCCAAGAGAAAGATAATTAGACGATGAAGTCACTCGCGCTGTCAAAACGTTATGAATTGTTGCCTTTTAGACGGCGTGTGAGTGTTTGCGCTGTCAGTAAGTCGAGTTTGTTTGCTTAGCAGCCTTACCCTCGAGGTGGCTAATGGGTAGCGTTGCCCAAAGAAAACATCAAAAAAGAAAGTTTGAAAGAGTGCGGAGTAAATCTGAACTTGCCGTCAGTATTTCCTTGCAAACCAGGCATGAGCTTAATTTTTATTTATTTATTTTAATTCTCAGGGGCACATATTTCTGCTGTGCGAAAAACAAATATTGCTGGATTTTGCCCACTATGGCTGCTTGAACTAAAATGGCCTCCTTCCTGTTCAATTCCCGACATGGGTCCTCGAGACTTTTTCTCATGTGCCTTGTTATGATGTCTGTCCAAATTTGTACGGCATAGTGAAACTGATGTCAGGAGTTTTGACAGGCGATGATCAAACATGGAATTAAAGCAAAGGGGGAGCGAGGGGGTGTTTAAAAAAGTTTGTCACCTGATGTGAAAGTTCTGAATGTTGACATTCTTGTAAGGCGCCGTTTTCCGCTGGCACCAAAGCAGGAGGCCCTCCTTGGCGGACGTCTCTGAGGTCGAGAAGAAGACAGCGGGATCACTCAGGATGACTCATACCGACGCTACTGTTTACTTGCAGACTGATCGCAGAGGTGATTGGGAATCAATCACTTGAACATTCATACTAATAACCTTCGACGGAAATGTCTTGGATGGCAAAGCGGAGGATGATGGTCCAGATCATTCCCAGTGTCATCTTAGCATTGCCATCGACAATTTCTGCACAGGAGGGAAAAAAAAAAGTGACTTAAAAGGTCAACTCTAGCAAGAATTGTCAGCCTTAAAAATATAGTCTTTTAAAAAATATTTTAGATCATAAATACAGTTGTATCAATTTATGAACAGTTTTGTCATTCACATCCACTGTTACTTATTACCTGGCTTGGGGACTAAACAACGGAATACATGTACCGGCATTACGTATTGGGACCAATAGTATAGAATTACTGAAAAATATGATATTTAACAAATTGTGACATAGGAGGTTTCCGCCCGACACCAGAGATATATGCTTTATCCTCTACGAAGAATGACTAACATGACTACAGCTTCCTAAAAAATGAGACTATGTACATTAAAGTCCATGTCTGTATTATACTGCCCCTGGGTGGCCATGGCATGAAAAGCAGTGGGAGCAGTGAAGCAAAAAGTGTGACAAAAATTGTTTCATGCTTTCCTTTTTTTTTTAATTATGGAATCAGTTTGTTTTTATGAAGTGCAATGGTTGGTTATAGAGTGATATTTATTTTATTGAGAAGAAAAAAACTGCAAAAAAAGTGTATTTTTTGTAGCAGGCTAGAAAGACAGCTGTTACTCCAACAGGGTTCCCACTCTTCCACTTGCTTTTTATTTATAGACCTTTGAAGGACTTTTGAGGGCTAATTTAGCAATTTTTTTAAGGACTTTTTCTCCATTCAGCAGGGGATTCACGGTGGATTTTAATGCCCGCTCAGCAATATGCGGGCTGAACAGAAAGCCACATATCACTGAGCTGGTGTTCAAATCATTGCTGCCAAAGTGAAGGGCACATCTTTATTTTTAAGAGCAATCAGCTAACCCTTTATTTGACATACTGTATGTCAAATTTTCATTTTCCTACCTGTTTTACAGGTAGGAAAATGAAAAAAATTTGAATTCATTCTCAAATAAAGTACACAAAGAAAAATATAAATTTAGAAAATGTAAAACTTCGAATAAGTTATTGTCAAATAAAAATAAATTTTTAAGGATTTTTATTGATTTTAGAAGGTTTCCCTGAAAATTAAGGACAATTAAGAACATAATTTTACAATTGAATTCATTCTCAAATAGAGTACACAAAGAAAATATAAATTTAGAAAATACAAAACTTCGAATAAAAGTTATTTTCGAATAAAAATAATTTTTTAAGGATTTTTATTGATTTTAGAAGGTTTCCCTGAAAATTAAGGACAATTAAGAACATAACTTTACAACTTCTTTTTTTTACAACTTATTTTTTATGGATTTTCATGAACTTTAAGGACCCGTGGGAACCCCGTCCTAATGTTTGATTCATTTCGAACCTTTTTTTTTTTTTTTTTGCTGCTGCACAAGTCATTGATGATGATGATGAGCATCGTGTGAATGGAGTGGTCCTATCCGGTCCTCTCTGTGTGTTGAGTTACCCGCAATGAAAATCCTTTTCCAACAGGTTGGCCGCCTTCAATAAATCGCTGTAATCCAATCAAGATCAAGCGGCTCAGGAGCCGCTTCCACCGTGACGGCCAAAATACAAGACTGACGCGCAGATGTGGCATGACGAGGGTTAAAAACAGTCGGCAGTTCGAGTTGACACACGACGTGATCGATCAATCCTGTTAATGCCATTTGAAAGGGCAACACCCCACCCACTAAAATCCCAAGCAGCTCCCTGATGAGATATATGGACGAGTGAGTCCAGGCACATAATCCGTCTGGAATGTCGGTCTGGCTCGGCGCCTCCGTAACAAATCTGATCAAATTGTTGCACCGCATATCTTTCACGCATAATCAATCAGTCCTGTAAATCACCTCTAATGGAAATTGACGTCGGTTGGGGGGAGAATTAACCGCTTTTGTCCTGTGCAAGCACAGTGGGTGATTCTTCATCGAGGAAACAAAGTGGAGCTAATAAAATAGGAGATTGATTCAAAATCAATGTTGATGTTCCACATACTAACCCAAAATTACGTTTAAGCCTACCAACCAACCCAAATGATTTTTTTTGTTTCCAAATTGCAGCCTTGGCGATTTGGAAATCGCATTTTACTACATTGCAAAGTCTATCCAAATGCAATTAAGAGTTCAGCCCTGCTAGTTACTGTATTTAACTGCTTGTCATTACTGTGCGTCTTATAAATCTTCTTTTAGGCGGCGCTTGTGGTCAAAAGTTTGAGAAAGGAAAACCAAAGGTCTCCGCTCGTGGAGCTGTTCTTGACGGCTAAAGTCTCGGCGGGCGCGGCGCCACTCACCCTCGGCGCCGATGGACACCAGCTTGACTCCTTTGCTGGCGATGAAGTCCAGTGCTTTGTTCACGTTGGAGATCTTATGCACCTTCATCTTGCCACGCTCGGGTTTGGCCAGACGTTCCCCTGGATTGGGGAAAGTAAAGGCATAGGCGTTGATGGGAAGTAATCAAGTGCATTTTTTATTTATTTTTTTGGTAAATCTTTGTGGCTGGGTACCAAATGGCTCAGTGATTTAATTAAAGGAGTTGAATCAATACTTCTACTTTTAGCGGAGCCTTTTGGTTGTTTTTTTTAATCTGTAAGTCTTCTACTGAAGTAGTGCAAGCACTTTTGCCACATTCGGCATTCTCTTACCTGAGATAACCTCCAACAGGAGCATGAGTTTCAGACCGTCTCGAAAGTCCTCTTCGATGTTTTCGATCTGCGTGCCGGCTTTTCTCAAGTGAGAGTTGCACCAAGCCGTGAATGTCTACGGAGGAAATGAAAAAAAAAGCAACTGATAAATATACATACACATTTATTCATATTTTTCAAAAGGGTACCTCAGTTGGTTAGTTATTTAGTAACACACATTTGGCTGTACGGGAAAAAAAAAAAGATAATAAATCAGGTACAATGTCAACAACTTCACAGCCTCTGCTTGGCTCTTCAGATATTCTGTGTGTGTGCAGCGATGGCTGAGAGAGAGAATTCCTAACTGGCATTTTCTCTCCCTGCTTGTGCCTCTCACTGCCACTTGAGCTCCTTACAGTCAGTGACTAATGACAATTAGTCTCCGAGAACTTGTTATTGACAATCATGGGCAGACTCTTTCAAGTGAACATGGGAAAGGCTCCCAGTACACGTCACTACTTTTAGGTGAGTAATATTCAAATCAAGTCAAGTACAACTTCATTGTCAAATGTGCAGGATGTGCAACATACAGCACAGATGAAATTTCTTCCCTCTCAAACAGACAAAAAGACAACAAGAGGAGCTGCTGCGGGTGCCCGCGCCGCCATCAAAAGAACAGTTAACATAAAGTGACAAAATAATACAACACAACACATAAGACACAGACAGTTGTGCAATCTTCACCACTTTTCCTGCATACACTTTGTTGTTTGAAGCAGTTGTGGATGAAAGAGGAGCGAATCAAAGTGTCCTTCTCTCCAGTGGATCAAAGACGTCATGCTCAAAATGTGCACACGTCTGCTCCAAGCTAAGTTTGAAAGCAACAAGAAGCTGTAGCCGTCCATTAACGAAAAGAGATCGGCTCTCATCTCCTGTCCCATGGAAATCCGCTTCAATTCCAAGCTGCGACTCCCAATTCCACATACGCGTCGGCGCTTCACGCTGACGCTCCTTTCGTCTCGTCGTCGGCTCCTTAAGCCAGGCATCCATCCAGCCCCAGACTGTTCAACAGCACCGACCTTTCCGCTGAACAAAGCGGGGCTGTGAAAATGCTGCCCATGACAGGCGCAAAACACACAAGTGCTCCGGGGGCTGTCCAGCAACGACAGTCAAATGGCGCTGACATTCCTCCCAATCAAAATCAGTGCTGGCACACGCGTGCTGCCGAGAAGGCTCAACCACCAAGCAAAGATTCTTCTTCTTTGACGAATGTCGTGGCCAAAAATTGCTGAAAACAATCCACATCAGGTCCACACGACGTAACACTACCATGTGACAAAACAAAAGACAAAAACAACAAAAAAACGCAAGGCTCTTGAAGAACACTTGCCGACGGCTGCCTACTCGGGCGCCATCATGGGGGATTTTTTTTTTTTTTTTTTTTTTATCAGCACAGCAGTAATGTTCGTCTTTCTTCGCATGGGATAAAGAATATATGGCTGTGAGTTATGTAGCACAACCCCGCCCTCCCCCCTCGAGGCAAGGTCTTCGACTGACCCTGAAAAATATCCGCAGAACTGCATTCTACTGGACTCACATCAGTGTTTTGGGTTTTTTTTGGTGCGTCGGTTTTGCCCTGCAAAGCTACCATGCTCCATAAATCTACAGTACACTTCAGTTGTGTACTGTACACACACAGTAGGTGCAGCGATCCAAGGATTTTTCTGGCATCGCAGGGCACTATGAGGGAAAACATTGAGGAAGACTGAATCACAGCTGGGGCTGGCACAAGCGTTGAGGCAGGAGCAGCAAACAGCCCGGCAAGAACGTCTCTTTATGATCCTCGGGGTTTAATTACAACCCGAGAACAAACATCAGGCTTCCGTGTTTCCAACCGAGATGCCGCGGAGAAGCCGCAGGAGCGCAGCTGAGCTCGGCCGGTCCGTGTAAGCCGCCCGCCTCTGTGGTTCCTCCGGCCCCCGGAGAAAAGCCACTCGAAATTGGGATGAAACGGTTTACCGATAAAATGAGTTGAAGTTTCTGATGGTTAGTATTGCCCTTGTAAATTCTGGTGAAAATCATATTATTTTTGTGTTTTCAAATATATTTTTTTTATATGTCTAATATTGTTTATGTCTATGGTTTACCATTTATCAACCACTCAGAAGCACTCTGGCCTCACTTGTTTCGTAAGGGCGAGAAAAGGGAAAACACAACATGTGGCCTGCTCATACGTGAGCCGGCTTTCTCTGTCTGAAAGCCACCTCCCAAAATGCAAGGCCTGCCAGAAAGTTAAGAAGCACGCCGTAGCATGTGCTCTACATCCACTTGAGCGAGCGTCACGGACGCCACACAGCAAAAAAAAAAGTAACCCACCAAGGTGCGATGTGGACGTTTTTAGGGTGGAAGTGCAGCTCTGTGAAAGCACAGAACTTGTGAGCGCTGATTTCAAAACTGCTCCACTCCTCCTTTCATTAATCATGCTTACTTGAAAAAAAAAAAAAAGAAAAAAAAATTCCGACTGCACTCCTGCCAGCTGTAGTGTCGGAGCGGTTAAACAGGCCTCGGAAAGGAAGTCAGATGTTGCTGGCAGAGGGTGACACACGGGAAGTTGGTTTTCAACAGTATGGCTGGAATTTCACGCTCAGTGCGGTGGGGGACAGCCCGATAGTTTTTTTTTTTATTTCCAGGGTCAATATCGACACTAATTGTTAGTAGAGAAAGAGGCTGATAACTGATATTTGTGGGCGGATATTCATTTTCAGTAAAAAGGGAAAATGAAAACTCTTGGTTGGAATATTTTGCATATGTTTATTGAGCAACTTTTCAGATTTGCAAAATGTGGAAGTCCCCCCCCCCCCGATCCCAGCATCTCTTCAATACCCAAAATGACAAATTATCTCTTTGACTTTTAATAACAATGAGACGCTGCAAGCATTGTTGTTACCAATCCCACTTTTAAAATGAATTGAAATGCGAGAGAACAAACCATTTTTTTACTGGCTTGTGATTTCCAAACCGTTTTATACGTTATCTTGTTTATATGTGATAAGGTGATCATAGATCGAGAAGGATTCATCGTCAATATGGCGTTCCAAGAAAACCATAACGGCGATGTAGCCCATGATAAAAAAAATAAAAATAAAAAAAAAGTTTGTTACCCACGATCAAAAGGGAGGAAAAAAAAAAAATTCTACAATTTGGCCCAATCGTCCACTTTAGATGTGCAAAATTGTGGTGTGCACCGAATACAATCGACGTGTTGGTGACTCCATGAGAAGCTCGGCGGCGCCGGTCGGATGCTCAGACGCATATTTTCAGATGCCACGTACCCTTGAGACCAGAGAGGCTTTTGCGGTTGCCGTGGCAACCGCCTCGCCCTACCCCGCACGCCTCCGCCTT